ATATGCATATGTGTATGTATCAATGTATGCATACATATACACATATGTATGCATATATATTTCCATATATACACACATGGAAGTCCTCGCTACTGAACACATACAAAAATTGTCATGAGTTGGCTATGACTTCCTAGGCCACGAGGTCACGCCACTGATGTCACGAAGTCGAAAGACGAAAATGTCTCAAGAACATCATGTCACTAATTAACTTACTGAGCAACACCTCGACGCTACATTTTCTCTAAGTATGCATTTTCTTCTCATTCTAAATTGCGTCCCTTTGGAGAGAACTAATTTACGAGGATTTAGAAAATGTGCAGGCATGTTAATCTAAATGTAAAAACTATTGTTCTAATATCTCGAATTAGTAGAAATGACTATCCTATTCATAATCAGGCTTTTTTTATTGCGTTGATCTTACGTTATACCACGTAACGCATATCAAATCCATGAATTTACAGATTACACAAAGGAAAAGCATACGAAATTGTAATTTAGATGGAGACAGAACAGAATTCACGTTTTTTTGCCAGATTCTCGAACTGCATATTCACATCCTTTTAATCCCCTTAATCCCCAATTCCCCTAAATCCCTAATCCGCAATTACCCTATTCCCCAATTCCCTTCATCCCATCCTGCTTCTCTCTCCGTCATCGTCACATTTCCTTCCAGTCGTACTGCCCCGTCGATCATCATCTGGGCGTCTTCTTCTGCGCAGTCCCGACGTTCGTGTAGTTCAGGTTCTTCAGCACGAGCTTGACGTCTCCGCCGGCCAGGACCTCCCTGACGGCGCGGTCGACCATGCCCTTGCAGTGGTCCACCAGCGCCCGCATCTTGGGCGTGTAGGGGTCGAAGCTCAGGGGCCTCTTCCGCCGCTTGTAGATGCCGTCCTGGTGCCGCATCATGCAGTCGAAGTTGCTCTCGGACACCTCCAGGTCCAGGAACTCCAGGATGCGCCTCATCTCCTCGGGGAGGTTGTCCAGCAGGTCCTCGTAGAAAACCAGGTGGAGCGGCCCGTCGAACTTGAGCCAGTCCAGCGTCGTGTTCATCCACGAGATGGCCTTGTTGGTCACGAATTTGCTCCAGTCTGTGAGGGGGAAAGGAGGGCTTGGGTTAAGTCTTGCTGTCTTGACAATGGGAGAAAAGGCCTGGGATAAATGGGGAAATCCGAGGAGGAGGAAAAAGGCCTGGGATGAATGGGGAATCCGAGGAGGAGGAGAAAAGGCCTGGGATAAATGGGGGAATCTGAGGAGGAGGAGAAAGGGCTTGGGATAAACCTGGCAGAGGCCTGGATAAATGGGGAAATCCGAGGAGGAGGAGAAAAGGCCTGGATAAATGGGGAAATCCGAGGAGGAGGAGAAAAGGCCTGGATAAATGGGGAAATCCGAGGAGGAGGAGAAAAGGCCTGGATAAATGGGGAAATCCGAGGAGGAGGAGAAAAGGCCTGGATAAATGGGGAAATCCGAGGAGGAGGAGAAAAGGCCTGGATAAATGGGGAAATCCGAGGAGGAGGAGAAAAGGCCTGGATAAATGGGGAAATCCGAGGAGGAGGAGAAAAGGCCTGGATAAATGGGGAAATCCGAGGAGGAGGAGAAAAGGCCTGGATAAATGGGGAAATCCGAGGAGGAGGAGAAAAGGCCTGGGATAAATGGGGAAATCCGAGGAGGAGGAGAAAAGGCCTGGGATAAATGGGGAAATCCGAGGAGGAGGAGAAAAGGCCTGGGATAAATGGGGAAATCCGAGGAGGAGGAGAAAAGGCCTGGGATAAACCTGGCAGGCTTGAATTACAACTAGATGGCTGGGAATAGAACAGTAATGCTTAGATTTCATCTGTAAGGCCTGCATTAAATCTGGAAAGCTTTTGGATAAATGCATAATTATTCATTCCTATTTCAATTTCATTATTAGCATCATTATAATCACCATTATTATTATCATCATTATCATCATTATCACCATTATCATCTTTTTTTATTATCACTAGCATCACTGTCATTATAATCACCATCATTATCAACATTGATATTACCCTAGTCTCCCTTTAAAAAAAAAGTCCCAAGAAACGATTCACTCAATGTAAAATTTTGCTGATAAAGGGATTTCGTATCTCCGCCACGATAAAACTTTCGCCTATTACGAATTTAGCCTTGTGTCCGACGAGAGCAAATTCTTATCCAGTTTGTGGAAAGAAGTTTGACTGAAACGAAAGAAGAAAGAAATTTGATTTGATTTCCTTTCTCGAGAAGTTTAACTGAAAGCTACTTGTGGCATTCATCTTTAACTTCGATATTGCGAATCTGGTTCTATTCAAGGAAAAATGTTTTAAATAAGAGTAAATTCGACGATACTTTTAGCCTGATTTACGGAAATGAGTTTAAATGAGGCTCAAGTAAAGTCAATTCAAGCAATGTCATTAGTTACGAAAATAGGCTTAAAGCAAATAGCTACTTATGATAAAGCTGTATCAGTTTTTTTCCTTATTTTCTGGAGAGATTTTTTGCATTATGATTCGAAATAAGTAATAGCAACATTACTGCAATAAAGAGAAAACCCCATAAGAATGACAATAAAGATAATAAAGAATTAATAACAATAGAATAAACAAAACATTATCACTGAATGCTAATGATGATCCTCATATATAGAGAAACTGATGCATATATAAAATACTAGCATGATATTAATAGTATTAATAATATCGATCAAAAAATACATTATCATCACTATATAATCAAACTTCCATTTCCAACTCTAACACAACGAGGGAATAATTCGAATTTGTAAAGGAGAAATTTGATGGGAAAAGTTTCATAAGAATTAAAGAACACACAAGGGGTTGCCAACTGTTCCAAACTCTTGTCATTTGAACGAGTGTTTATTTCTTCAGTGAGTGCTTGCAGACTCAAGCAAATTAAAGCAGAAGGATTTTTTTTTATAGATTAGTTTTTGTGTGCGATTAATTAAGTTGATGAATTGTGACTGATGTGTTGCTACAATAGGAATAGATTATCTTAATGAATTTATCAAGTTTGATATGAAAGAAATATATAGTATAGCATTGCTATTGAATTGATATATTTCAATTTTTTCTTTTTTGCTTGACATAATTCTGCCCTTCATACACTAACATATACAGACACACACACACATACACATACACACACACGCACACGCACACACAAACGCACACACACACACACACACACACACACACACACACACACACACACACACACACACACACACGCTCTCATATCCCCCCTCTTCCTCCAGCTATCGCCCCCCCCCCCCATCTTCACCCTCACTACCTCCCCTCCCCCCTTCCCTTCCCTCCCCCCACATACTCCACCACACCCCCACATACCCCACACACACCCCCACATACCCCAACACACCCCCACATCCACCACACCCCTCCTTACATCGTCCATGGTCCCTCGTATATTTATCCGGCTGCGCGTGCCCGATATGTCCTCCACTTTGCCTGTTGAATTCCGCCTGGATGGCCAAGTAGGGGTCACGGATGATGAGCACGGCGCGGGTGAACGCCTTCCGCATCTGTGGGAGAGGGAGAGAATGAGGGATGGGTGGATAAAATGGGGGGAATGGGTAAATGGGGGAGGGGAGAGGGAAGGATGGAAGGGAGGGAGGGAGAGAGGGAGGGAGGGAGAGAGAGAGCGTGAAAGAGAAAGAGAAAGAGAGAGGGAAAGAGAGATAATTACATAGAGAGAGAGAGAGAGAGAGAGAGAGAGAGAGAGAGAGAGAGAGAGAGAGAGAAAGAGAGAGAGATAGAGAGAGAGAGATAGATAGATAGATAGATAGATAGAGAGAGAGAGAGAGAGAGAGAGAGAGAGAGAGAGAGATAGATAGATAGATAGATAGATAGAGAGAGAGAGACGTGAAGGGTGAATAAACAAAGGAGAAAATACATCCCTGAGAGAAATGGTATGGAGTATTAAGGAACGAAACGGACAGAATAGTCGAGAAACAAGAAGGGAATATATGCAAAGGAGGAATTAAAAGATTCGTCCTGAAAGATAGACAGACAAAGTGTTTGTGAAGTGACGAGCTAGGGGAGCAGAGAGATTCGGAGAAAGGATGGAATTAAGTTACCATACAGAGGGGCGAGAGATGCAGTTAACCATAAATCATACAAGTTATAATAAATCATAAATCATAAATCATTTTCTATTGCCAGTGAACGCAAAGTGAATAGAAATTCATAAACAAGAGGATCATATTATCTTTACTTTTCGGTTTCGATCCTGTAAGCAAGCACCTATTCATCTCGCCTTCATAAGTGTACAAAACAAATGAGCATCGCGAGTTATGGGAGAATCAAAGCGCATTCATAGTGTATTATCTTCTATTCATAGTGTTCATTTGTTTTGTACACAAGGGAGAATAAGTACTTAGACGCCTGTTCTCGTGCAACATGCGAAAATCAAATCATACGTCATGCACAGATTTTGGTTTTGTTCATGCTAGAAAAAGATTATTTTTTTTTTTTTTGCGGTAAGAGAGGGAAATCATTCATCGATTCCCCTATCCCCGATTCTATTATTATCTGTAATATTTTATCCTTTTTCTTAAATATCTGTCTTTGATCCTGTTATTGTGCGATCTGAAAGGCTATTCTCGTTTTCTCTGCCCTTGGATCTGTTGTTATCTGTTATCGATTATTTTTCATTATCATCATTCTGGTATTATCACAATGCCAAGAAACTCCCTACGGATTCTTTGATTACTCTGGCTCTTTGTCATTTCTATTTTTTTTTCTTAATTCTTTCCTCTACTATTACTGTTGTTGTTGTCATTATCATCATCGTTGTTGCTGTTGTTGTTATTATTATGATGACTATTATCAATATTGCAATCCTTATCATTATAATTATCATTGTTACCATTCTTATTCTTATTCTTATTTATATTCTTATTTGTGTTATCGTTATCATTATCATTTCTTTAGTCATAATCAATATCATCATTATCATTATTATCATTGTTGTTGTCGTTATTGTCTTTATTATTATTATTATTATCTATATCATTATCATAATTATTATCGTAATCATTACTGTTATCATTATTATCATAGTTATCATTTTTATCGTTATCATTAAGAGTATCGTCCTCCTCCTCATTATCATCATCATTATCATCACTACTACTATCATTATCACTATCACTGATGATCATAATGTCGTCATTATCGCAATTCATATCAGTATTTAATTTATCTATCTCTTATCTATCTATCTTTTACATACACGATCTCTCAATTAGCAGATGCCACACCACCCATTTCCCTTCATTCAAAGAGAAGCCACGCCCACGCCCACGCCCACGCACGCCCTCAGTCAATTGTTTTACTCCGATCCTGTCGTTCTCATTCCATTTCCTTTTTTTATCCTCTGTCTCTCCAAGGCAAATTGCTTTCAGATCTCATAGCATTCCCAAAAGACGAAACTCTTTTGCCGCCTTAAATTCTGGGGGAATTGAACCCCTTTCGTGGATTGAAGGTTTTATTTTATTTTTATTTTTTGGTTTTGTTTTGTTTTTTATTTTTTATGTTTTCAGGATCTGTGTTTGTATTTGTTTTCGGTGCATTTCTACTCTGTACTGTATGAATTTCCTTTTGTTTTTAGCTTGTTCGTCTTTTCTTACATTTTTGTTTGTGTTTTATGCCTTATGTCTTGCTCTTTTCTCTTCCCTTTTTCCTGTTATTCGTATCTCCTGCATTTCTTGCATTTCCTTTTTTCGTCTTCCTTTTTGCTTCTCGCATTTTCTCATGTTCGTATTTCCCTTTTTCATTCCTCCTTCTCGCGTTCCTCCTCCTCCTCCTCCTCCTCCCCATCTTCCTCCTCCTCCTCCTCCTCCTCCCCCTCCTCCTCCTCCTCCTCCTCCTCCTCCTCCTCCTCCTCCTCCTCCTCCTCCTCCTCCTCCTCCCCCTCCCCCTCCTCCTCCTCCTCCCCCTCCTCCTCCTCCTCCCCCTCCTCCCCCTCCTCCTCTCCCTCCTCCTCCTCCTCCTCCTCCTCCCCCTCCTTCTCCTTTTCCTCCTCCTCCCCCTCCTCCTCCTCCTCCTCCTCCTCCTCCAATGTCGAACTTGAACCTCCATTGCCGAACTTAACACAAAGCAAACTCTCTACAGGAGCCAAGTCCACTTCTACATCAGCTGGTTTAGACTACTTATGGCGTACTTAACAGATCCTGAGCACTTTAGTTGTTGTTTATAGTTGTTGTTTATGGCTTGAAGTAGTTGTTAGGCTTCCTATAATAATTCCTGTGATAGAGTAACAGGGTCAGTTTCTATGACAACTTCTTGAGTAATAACTAATTAATTTAATTAATAATCTCAGTAAAGATAATATTTCTTCATATGGTTTCTCTAACAATTTCCGAAGCAATACATTAATTACTAAATTTAGTCTTAATGATGATTTGATGATTTGAACAAGGATGATAATAAGTTGATAATTTTTCCTTTTCCCTTTTTCATTTTCCATGATCTGCTTACGATTTGAATTGAAAATTATTTCAAATGTGAACTGTAATATTTTCACAATTTCTGTGTTTAATTCTTTCCTATTTGTATCAATATCACTGAACAAACATAGACTAAGCTGCTTAGAGGCAACTTTTAAATGCACAGGGAATTTTGTCGTGGTATTACGCATTTAAGTGAACATACATTTAATACTGTTAAAATGTTATTGGCACAGTAAGCTTTCTGAAAATCAATGTCAAGGTTTCTAATGCATTTAGATATCCAAAATTATATACAAAAAAAAAATCAAACGAGAACAATTAAAACACGGAAACAACGACAAATAAGAACAAAACAAAACATAAACTTGTTAAATACGAACTTGGTCTCAGTAGAAAATTTTGTAAAGCAAAATACACTCTCAGAAGCAAAATCGTTCTCATATTACGCCATATAAAACAACAACAACAACTACAACAACAAAAGTAGAATTAAGTGCGTATCCCCTTCTTCAAAAACCCACACACGCCGACTCAACAACAACAACAAAGTCTCAAGTCAGCGTTCGTGTAAAAGCCGGATCATGAATCCTGGATTAATCTGCGTCGTAATGAGAAAATGATCGGCACTGCATAGGGAGGGAGGGAGGGAGTGGATGGGAGGGAGAGAGTGGGAGAGAAGAAGAAAAGAAGGTAAAGGAGGAAGAACGGGGAGGGGAGAAGGGAGGGGGAGGCTGGAAGGCGGAGGGGAGAAGGGAGGGGGAGGCTGGAAGGCGGAGGGGAGAAGGGAGGGGGAGGCTGGAAGGCGGAGGGAAGGGGAGGGAGAAGAGAGGGGAAGAGTGGAAGAGAAGAAAAAAGAGGGGGAGAGTAAGGAGAGGGGAAGGGAGAAGAAAGGATGAGAGATGAAGGGAGGGGAAGGGTGGTGAGAGGGAAAGAGATGAAGAGAGAAAGATGGAGGGAGGGAAAAAGAGAAAGATGGAGGGAGGGATGAAGAAGAAGATGAAGAGAGG